AATAATTGAAATGTGACCGTATTTTACAAAATACTAGTCTACTAAACACAGCCAAGATAAGTTACTTTGTACAGACCAAAGATCAGTTTTATGTTATTGGATACTGTAACATGAGTGCACGTGTGCCACGTCATTGTAACTTATGTATTGTTAGCCAGGTGTGGCTGAAAGGTCAATATCATAAAAATGATAAATATATATATATAAATATATAATGTTATGAGATTTAAGCTATTTAATCTAAACATTTATGTTTTCCTGTTATAATTTGTGTTCATTCTAGAATGAAAGAGGCATAATTTATATTTATTTCCTAATTTTTTAAGGTGATTACAAGATCGGACAAACCTACCGAACCCATACAGAGATTCCTTACTGAAAATAACAGATAAAATATATAGTTTTTCCTTAAGAAACGTTTGATAACTATCTGGACATTATAAATATTTCACATGTGAAATGTGAACATTTTATGATGCATAAAAGTATTTTTAATCTTAAAATGAAAATTACTTTGCATGTTAGATAGGCAACATGCAAAAAGAAAAATAAAAGCATGAGAAAAACATTGCTTTACAAACCTTAAGACTTAAAAAAAAATTTGATATTTTGTGTATGAAATCATTATAATGTTTACTGATAATCTGCCAAATTTCATTAACACTCGCTTACTAATTTAAAAGTTATAGCATGAAAACTATACCAAGCACAAAATGTTTATGAGGTGGGTCCTAGGGACCAAGCCCGTGCTGAAAGAGTTAATACGAATTCTACAGACAATGCAGAAGGTGTCAAAACATGTAGTGTTTTAAGTGGAAGCCACTGATGGCTTTAATAAACATCTTTTAAATGTGAAATATTGTATTTTAATTATTTATTAGAATTTATGTCCCTACTGTCAGAACTTTTAGATCCCGGCAACCCCATAATCTCAAATGTCTGCCACTGGCCTGCATTATGTTGAAACAGTACACATTACTCTTTGAATCTGAGAGAGATTTCTCAAAAGGCAATATTAAAACATTCCTGAATATCCTAACTTTTTCACAGATGCTACAGTATATACTAGGAAAATTCCATATGAAACAAAGTAATAAGGTACTGGATTAAATAGGAAATATCACTACTAAAGCAATTTAACTTGCCTTAAACTTCACAAAAGCATCCAGGATCTAGGTTTTATACAATTTGGGCAGCTCCTAATTTTTGCACAATTTATTCTTCCTAAACTAATATACCTCTCTTTGATGGTTAGAGGTTAGACTCCTGTAAACTAGGTATGGAAACTGATCAAATAACCTGCATGATCTACTGTTACCTAACTACTTACTTCCAAACTACCCTAAGTTTGGTAAAAGAAAACACAAGGCAGTTAGGTGAAAAACACACTGTAGCTAAGAAAAGAAAAGCTAAAAGTACATCAAGATTTATGAGATGCAAATGCAGATTGTCCTTATTGGCTACATTATATTTCAGAAGACAGATTATATAAAAAGCTTTCGTGTAAAACATGGTCCACAAACCACTAAAATAAAAAATAAAAAAGTATCTTTCTACTAATATCTTTTACATTTCAGACTTTAAAGTCAGTTGGAACTGAGGTCTACAATATGTACATGTTTTTCAAAAGTTGCCATAAGGCCCTAGATCATAAAAAATTAGATACTTTAATATACCATTTCTTCATTTCCAATAGAACTAACCTGAAGAGGAAGTGGAAATGTACTATCATTAGTGTCCAACTGGTTAACATCCTACAATTGCCTATGGGATCTACAGACTCAATCAGCTTTTTAAATACTTTTCTAAACTACACAAACAAAAATTGCTTGTGGATCCAGGACTTTGTCATTTACAGGATCCTTAATAACATACAAGTCACCCAAAAAAATTCTAAACAATACTGTAAATATTGTAATCAATCCTACTAATTACTGACAGGACTTCATATGCCTTTTACATAAGAAATGAGTTACCTTTGCTAGTTCAGAATGAATGCAATTTCTCCAACACAAGGT